GGATCTTCATGAGGAATCTGAACGCGTAGCAGGTCCGTTTTATCAAACTTTATCGATATGGACGCGTTCTGCTGGTGCAAAGCATGCACACTACCAATTCTTCTTTTCAGCTGGGCCTGGCGTAACCTCATTCTGAGTAACTCCTCTGACTCCGTCGTTTGTTCAGGCCGACCATGAATTGCGTTTATAATCCGGACGGGCTGAGAGTTGTGTTGGTTCGGCCCCTGGTTCCGCTTGATTTGTTCAGTTGGGCGTTTATGCTCTTGCGCCGGACCTTGAACATAGCTTACAAATTCCCCCTTTGCGATTAACATCTCTACCTGCCTCCTTAGGTTCCTGCATTCGTTAGTCTGATGCCCAAAATCACTATGGAAAGTACAATGTTTAGTCTGATCCCTCTGTTTAAGAGGTTGCCTGATTGGCAGAGGAGGACGGAACTTATCTTTGTTCTCCTGGTATAGCCTTGCTAAGGTAACTCTGAGTGGAGTGACTGATTCCTCCTCCCTAGGCCTTTTCTCCGCCTTCCATGAGTGGTGACGTTGCGGTTGAGCTTGTTTTTGCCGGATCTTGGTTTTGGACTTCTCCTCCGTCGAAATAATTGACGTCTTCCTTGAATTAGCTGCTTCTTCCTCCTCAAGGCGAACAAAACCGTCAGCTCTCTCGTTCAGCTCGTCCATTGTCCTTGGCGTATTAACCACCAAGCTGGTGTGGAACGGCGTCCCCCGGTTCATTGCGAGTTTAAATGCTTGGACTGCTGTTGACGGGTGACACTCCATTACCATGCTTTTAAACGAGGTTGAACCGGGTGAGAAAAGCTTGGAGCCACTCATCCTCATGCTACTTTATTGTGAAAAGGCTCGATACATCCTTAGCCGGATGCTTATTCCCGTAATACTGGCTTATGAACTTATCGCATAAGTCTTGGAAACTGGCGATTGAGCCTTGAGCCAGATTCTTGAACCAATTGAGAGCTGGTCCAGCCAAGCTTGTAGGGAAACACTTGCACATCAAAGGATCATTATTAGTATTCAAAGCCATTTTCAACTGAATATGGTATATGTGATCGACCGGATCGGTTTTTCTGTCAAAGAGAATGAAGAGCGACATGGAAAACTTCTTCGGATTCGGCGCGTTCATAATTTCATCAGTGAACGGCGATGCGACCGTCCTTGCTGAGGAACGCAATGCTTCATTTTCTCTTGAAAACCGTGACGAAAATCCTCGATCGGCAGATCTCCTTTCTGAGCTATGGTAATCAACTGTCGCTAATGAAGGTCGGTATGGCGGATCGAACGACCTATCCTCTGTAAATTCACTCCGCCATGGTGACGCAATCCTATGTTCATATGCCGGTGCTTCCTCCCTCATAATCCGTTTGTGATGCTGTTCCAGACGAACAGATCCTTCCCGATCCTCTACTTGGCCGATATTCGGAGGCAGATTACCGATTATACCTTCATTACGACGTAGACCACCACGATTGACGTCTTCTGGATCACCTTGACGATCAGCTTCGGACGGTAAAGCTCCCTCTCCTTCAGGAGGCGGCCTCGAAATTGCAGGAGCCTCACGATGCTCTATTCCAGCTCGTAGCTCTGCATTTTCTTTCCTCAAAGCATCGATCATGTTCATTAGCTCATCGAGCTTTGTCTGCTGGCCGTTCTCCAAAGAATTCGGGTTCGCCTCTCCGATCATCATTCCAGATCAGAGCAAAGTCATCAACTGCAGGCTTCTTGATCAAATCGGAGTTCTACTAACGCGCGCACACCAGATCTGAACTTACACTTGCCGAATTCAGTCCACTACTGGCCGGATTCAGTAATCACAACAGATCACAACCGCGCAGTTCGCCGGATCAAGCACGGATCTGATCTGCTTGGATCGGACGCCAATTTTCCGAAATCAACCGGAACCTGGACTCGTTAAGACAAATCGTATTATTACCAATGTTGATTCAGCTTTCGCAGATTAATCGTCTTCCTCGCAGAATGCGTTGAATCGATCCGATCTGGAATGATATCAATCAATCCTTCCCGTTCTTTCCCACAGACGGCGCTAATTGAAAGTACAAAGAATTTTTCCCTAATCGTAGAGAGAGAAACTTTACACTCCCAATGATTTTCCAACCCCTTTTCCCTCTCAATCCCCTCTATTTATAGACGGTTATAACCACCACTGAGCTGGACCTATCTTGTTCTCTTTTGGCTGGACTCGACTTCCCTCATTTTAACATGGGCTTCTGAAATGACTTTATGGACCTGGGCCTATACGGCGCGAACTTGCTCCATCCCGTTCGTCCACACCCGACCCATCCTATGCAATGTGGATCACACCAAACCTGGGTCATTTTGGTGTCCTCAGTCCCATTTTGATATCTAAGGCCTTTTTTTTCCTTTTTTTTTCTTTTTTTGACAAAAATTACCACTAAAGAATAATTAAATGGATTGATGATTCTATTCATCTTTTTATTAAGTTATGGTCATTTTAGAGCTATTATCTTTAATTTTAGTCACTTAACTCTAATAAATACTGAAACACTGAAATTATTTACACCTTTTATTGTTTTTATTTTTCTTAAAATAGAAGAGTAATAGAATTCTAATTTTAATCTTTTATTATAAATTGCAAATCTTTCCTTTTGAAAAACTACTATTTTAAATTTCTTTTTTAGTCAAATCTTTTCTATTCCCATTCATGTCGTCCACCACAGGTTATTATTATTTTTTTTTCCTTTGTCTATAAAAACTAAGAAAAATTTTAAAATAAATGGAGCATATTTTTTTTTTTTTTCCAAACTATGAAAAATTTAAAAATATAGAGCTTCTATCACATATGTAGACACTAAAATTTTATGAACTTTTGTTTTAACAAATTGACCCATCAAATATGGATCTCATGTTTAATTAAATTATTTAATTGGCCCAAACTAGGTCCACTTAAATTATTTAATTAGCCCAGCTTAGATGATTTAATAAAAAGATAATTATTCTTAATAAAATATATTTAGAATACTTATTTTTATGGATAATTATCATAATATAACGAGTCCGGCCAGTTATGATTATGTCCTTATCAGGAAATGACACATATCATTATCCTCTTAATCCAATAAGCCTATAAATAGAAGGAAGGAGGAAGGAAGAAGAAGGGGTACAGAAATTGAGAATTCTAGAAATTCATAATTCCATAGAGAAATAAAGAAATCCTGCCAATATTCATCCCCAACACCTAAACCCGGTGATCAACAACAAGCACATCAAATTGTACCATTCTTCATCAAAATTTCACGGTGATTCAAGATCAAGCTCGTGTAGCCCTTGAATACCAACAAAGGAGATCGAATAAGATGACTTTATTATTTGTAAAGAATATTTCAGAGGATTGTATTCCTTTTATTTATCATAAATCAATAAAAATTTATTTTTGTCACTTATTTTATTCTTTATTCTTTACTATGAAATTTGTGTGTGTAAAATTCTGGCATACCCGGTGGAACATCCTTTGCTTCTTATCTCTTTCTCCTTCCATCAAGTTTTTGCTCTATCAAATTCTATGACTCCCCCCTAAGGATCAGACAGACAAGAAAGCCCAAAAGAACATCACTATTGCAAAGGTCAACGTCAAAGCCACCATGAAAAGTGGCATGAAGGCCAAGAACGCATCAAGTGATGGAAGTACCATGGCAGGCCCTATGACACGTAGCAAGTCCCAGGTAATCGCATTATCCAAACATTGGCACAACTTAGTGAAAACCAATCCTACGAAGCTAGCAAACATGAAAACTCAACACATTAACACCCTTGTTGTCTATCCAGAAGGTCAAGAACCCTAGCGTTGTTATAGAGAAGGTCTCGCCACCAGATTCACCTCATTCCATCTCTGATGCTCACTCTAGTGTCGGTTCACCCCTAGAGTCACCATGTCAGACTTCGGAGCAATCGATCACTTCAAGGAACGTTGACTCTCAAGGCCTATCATACTCAGATGTGGCCGCTGCTATAATGACTAGAGCTGCCACGGTGGATGATCAACTAACAACAATGGCACGTGCAATTGACAACCTCACAAAGACTGTTGAAGAAAAGGACTTGCAAATCGTTACACTGATGAACATATTGGAAGTTCAGACCTTCGATGAATCACCACCACCGTCTAGGAATCCTACAACTTCTGCACCACCACTGTCCGGGAATCCTACATCTTCCACAGCAGCACCATCTGGGAATCCTAATTCTATGGCACAAGGTACTCGCATGTAAAACCCCAAACAGACGCCCATGACAGAAAAGGCGGCTGATCAAACCAAGCATGCTTTTTTATTATCTGTCGAACAATTACCAGATATGATAATGAATACAATTCGAGCCAATACGGAGGCATTTCACAGAGCACTCTCATGTAGTCAAAGCCCTATACAAAGAGAATCGACAGTGTGAGGATGCCTGTAGGATACTAACCTCCGAAAATTCAGCAATTTGACGGAAAAGACAACCCCAAGCAACACATTGCCCATTTTGTCGAGACTTACAACAACATTGGAACTAATGGGGACTTACTAGTTAAACAATTTGCTACTCCCTTAACGGAAACGGGTTTGAGTGATACATCGACCTGAAGTCAGAATCAATTGATAGTTGGGATCAAATGGAACGAGAATTCTTGAACAGGTTCTATAGCACTCGTCGTACTGTTAGTATGATAGAATTGACTAACATGAAACAATGGAAGGATGAGTTCGTAATCGACTACATTAATCGGTGGCGAGCACTCAATCTTGACTGTAATAGACGATGTCAGAAATTTATGATGTGGAGATATGTACGTAGGGAATGCATTGGGTCCTTCTTTACATTCTCTAAAGTATAAAACCTTGCCAAAAAAAAAACAAAGAAAAAAGAAAAAAACTTATTAGTAAATGAGGGAAAGGTATATATATCCTACAAGTTCTAGCTTGGAACAGAGGACAAAAGACGCAATAACCGCCGAATGGAGAGGGAGGCGACGAAGGGCGTTATCTTCAGTGCCGATCACGTGAACCTCCCTCAAGCCGGAGTCACCACGTGTCACTCCAAACTTCCACTGACATCAGATATCCACATCTCATTTTATACTCTCTCTCATAGTATTACTGTGTATATATATATATATACATAGTCACAGACCTGGTATGTCTATCCACTTGTTCTGCGGGCATCGTCAGCATCCCAAGGTTTGTTTCAGTCCTCGAACCGAGTGACTAATCCTTTCTATATTATATAAGTCAATCATCAGCAAGAACAAAACCCTAACCCTAGAATAATTGTGTACAAACAGGATTGATAGGAATTGAACAGAGGTTTCGAGATGGATCACGCAGCGGACGCTCACAGAACCGATTTGATGACCATCACTCGCTATGTGCTCAATGAGCAGTCCAAACATCCTGAGTCTCGCGGTGATTTCTCCATCTTGCTCAGTCACATTGTTCTTGGTTGCAAGTTCGTTTGCTCTGCTGTTAACAAGGTTCGTTTTTGTCCTCAAATCATTGAATTTTTTTTTTTTTTGAATTAATTGAAATTTTACATGGTGTTTCATTTGGTTAATAAAGAGATTTAGATATTCTCTAGGCAATTACTATACATAACTTAATTGGCATGGTGAAATGAATAAAATTAAAGCAGGCAAATAAATCAATTGTTATTATTTTTTTTTTTTTCCAGTTGTCTGCAAAATCAAATGTTTTAAAAATATGTTTGTTTGTAGAAGAAAATTAAGTACAAATTTGTCGAATTTGGGGATTAAATATGCTGCGTACTTTTCAAGATAGTGTGCAATGTGGGAAATGGAGAAAAAATAGAGAGAAGAAACCACAACGATGACCACATTATTTAGGTGGTTCCATGTTCAAAACTACATCAGAGGAAAAAGCAATAATATATAAATCCACTAATAACACTTGGACATTACACCATTCATGAATTTAATCATCTGTGATATTACACCTTTAAGTCTTTAGACTTTAACCATCTATGAGATGATATGATAAGAAACTACCAATATCTATCTTGGAACTTGCCATGAATCCACAATCCCTTGCTATGTTGCAACTCCTCTTTACTTCTATGATTGCGTGCTGAATCGATAATTAATTGAGCTGCTCAAAAACTAATGAGCTCTGGGTTTCTCTTTGAATTTTTGCTACATTAAGAGAGGAAGAAAGTGTTTGGGAGTAGGCTAGTCTCTCAGGACCTTTTTCTCACCTGAAGGGTTATATAGCTGCAGTTTTTATAAGAGCTTTTTCTGCTACTTTGCTACATCAATAGTAAAATATAATATTTTGGTTTCTTTCAATGTGAAACAACCAAATGTGATGATTTTGCTGTTGCTAACCCCAAATATCCCCACCTTGATATTAAAAATCACTAGTGTCACACCACTCTATCAGCTTCCTATTAGACCAGCATGAATCACCTATCTGAAAGCTTGTGAAGCTGATTCTCTTGTTGGAAGGCCCATTATTAGTGTTCAATTTCCAGTTGATAGAAGACCCAAAAATAAAGGAGGACAGCATTTTATGCAAAATTCTCCCAAAAAGTGCTAATAAATAATTAGGAGAAAAAAAATTTACGTGGTTTGGCACTAATTTTTATGTGCATGGGCAACTGGACAAGATGGAAGAAACTACAATAGCAGAGGTTATGAACCCACTTCCCTATGGGTTCATTTGGTTAGTGTGAAGTAGGTAGAAAGGAAAAGAAACGGAAAAGAAAATTAATTTTTGGGAGTTTGGTTATCTGGAAAGGGAAAATTTTTGGGAAAATAGGATTCCTGCATCGATAAATTTTTCCAAAATATTTCCCTGCATAAAACACAAGAAAGTTTACTTTCTCGCACAAACTGTCATTTTATTTCCAAATTTCCTATTATGCCCGGTTGTTTCCCCATTTTTTTTTTTCACATAACAAATGTAGTGTGCTTATTAAATTCAGACTTAGAAAATATTCCAACAACTATTAGATATTGGGACACATAATTTGATTATATCCAAGGTCGTTACCTAAAATTTTTGGAAATAAATTAAGGGTTGAATAGTAGAATATTAAATAATATAACTTTTAATTTTTATCAATATCTCAATAGAAATATGAGAAGAGATTAATTTGAGTCATCATATTATTTATATCACATAATAATTTCACATGGATGGAAATCAATATAATATTTATTTTTTACTATCTATACAGCTTTGAACTGAATAGAGTTTTATGCTGTGTGATTTTTGCAAAGAAAAATTTGCATAGAAGTGGTTCATATTCATAAAAAATATGAAAGGGGACTGACAAATTATGCATGAACCATAAAATTATTATACATGAATTATAAAATATGTTACTTTTGCATGACAATTTTTACCCTAGAGTTGCCATTTAATGTTTCTTCGAGGGGGCTTAAAAAAAGATATATTTAATAATTCAATAAAATATAAGTATGTTATCATAAATGAACTATATTCTACATATAAATATAAATAATTATTATTGAAAACACAAAATAAAAAAATCTGGCAACTAAAATGCAGTCCTCCTTAGTTTTTCTAATTTAAATATGAATATAAATAATAATAATAATAATTATTAATAATCCATTATTTTATGATAAAACATGAGTATGTTATGATAAATGAATTATATTCTACATATAAATATAAATAATTATTATTGAAAACAGAAAATAAAAAGAATCTGACAACTAAAATGCAGTCCTCCTTAGTTTGTCTAATTTAAATATGAATATAAATAATTCATTATTTTACTAAATAATTGCTAAAAATTAATATAAATAATTGGGTATAAAGATGATTCATCCAACACAAAATTAATTTATTTTTTAATATTTGAAATTATAAGGGTAGTTTTGGTAAGTAAATCATTTTCTTTTTCCTTTCATGTTATCCAAACTAATAAAATAATATTTTCTCACAACTTTCTTGAAAATTTTTCTTGCTAATCAAATGCATGCAGGAAACTTGATTTTCCTTTTTTTCACTTCACTTTCTTTCACTTTCACTTTTCATCATAAATTTCCGTCTAACCAAATGGACCGTATTAGAAAAGTCGTACTATTCACACTCTCACAATATCTTTATGAATGAGCGTGTAAACTTGGAAAAACACACAATTCACCTATCTCAATTCTTACAAATACCACATTCTCACAATATTCTTGAATCCAAGAACACTATGAAAGCCCCCAATCAAGATGTCATAATGAGAAGCTTCTTGCAGAGATTCTCACATGGTTTAGAGAAACTCCTATCTTGTTCTGAGAATACACACTCTTTGAATCAAGTGTTTTAGAGACTGCTCATTCTTGCATCCAAGTCCAATTAATTGGACCACAGCCATTTAGTAGAAGACCATTTCCCATTTATTCAGTCAACAAACCACATGTTGAAGGATGCTTCTTCATTAAGAAGGAAGTGAGTAGCCTACTTTAAATTGGGGGGAAAAAATTGATGTGTTTTTATTTATTTATTTATTTTTTATCGCAACTTCAACAAAAGGGTCATTGGAGATTGTTGGGTTGGGTGGGGGGCGGAGGGTGGAGTTGGGTGGGTGAGTGGTGGTGAAGAATACTTTAACGAAAGAACGAAAGGGTCTGAAGATCTGTTATGTCACTGCAATATCTGGATCGAAAAATCCTTCACTATTCATTGTTCAGTATTTCAATTCAATAAGTCTTTTTCTAAATTATTTGGGTTTCTTACCTTTCTGCTTTTTATAGAGGATAATACCATTGCTCTTTCTTTGGTTCTTATTTGCAAGTGTACTAGTGCAGGCGGGTCTTGCTAAACTCATTGGACTAGCTGGTGAAACCAATGTCCAGGCATGTTTTTTATCAGTCTCTGTATCACTATTTATTATAATATGCTCCATCAGTCTCTTTATCACTATTCATTATAATATGCTCCTTTACCATATTATATTCTACTACAGTTCTTTCATGGAATTTGTTTGATGTTTTTTGTCTGTTTTGATATTAGGGCGAAGAGCAAAAGAAGTTGGATGTGCTGTCAAATGAAGTTTTTATCAAGGCTTTGGTCAGCAGCGGCCGAACAGTAGGTTACTGTAGAATTTTTAATATATGTTAGTGGAAAAATTATGATTTTCTCTTAAACATGTGAATCTTCTGCTAGTGCATACTGGTCTCCGAAGAAGATGAAGAAGCAACATTTGTGGAGCCGTCTAAGCGCGGAAGGTATCTTCTGATGGTCTCTTTTGTTGAGCAATTCTTCATCCATACTCTGTTTTGTGCTGTTCATCAATATATTTGTGATGATTTGTTGTGATAGTACAGGTATTGTGTTGTTTTTGATCCGTTGGATGGATCTTCTAATATCGACTGTGGAGTTTCCATTGGAACTGTATGACTTCTCTTTCAAAATATGTTATTGCTATATGATTGTTGTGATGGGCACTTGGACCAATAGAGATTATTGTTAAAGATAACTTGATTTGCAGTGATCAATTGGATATCTTCTCTTTCATCTAGATTTTTGGGATCTATATGGTGAAAGATGATCACGAGCCAACTTTAGATGATGTGTTGCAACGTGGGAAGAATATGTTAGCAGCCGGCTATTGCATGTATGGAAGCTCCTGCACGGTAAAAGAATTATCTTCGTTGTGTATTTGATACTTTATTGTAGTTCAGTCACTCAATCCAGCAATTTCTTTTGTATTGACTTCGGCGGTTCCACACTCAAGTTGATGTGTATGTTTTAGACTGCTATACCTGTTAAAACGAAGCCTTTTGCTAATGGATCAGTTCATGAAAGTTTTTTTAGTCTGCATCCTGAAATTGCACGTTTGTGATGTTATATTCACTTGTGCATGTAATGTTTCTGCAGCTTGTGTTAAGCACCGGAAGTGGCGTTAATGGATTTACCCTAGATCCATCTCTTGGAGAGTTTATACTAACCCATCCAGATATTAAGGTAAATTCGATAGTTTACTTTTTAATGTATTGCATTGGCAAGCTGTCTATTATAGATGCTACGATGGTTGCTAAATTCGTTAATCATTCTGCTAAATTATTCCAAGAAATCTGGTTGTTACAGGTTTCAAAGAGCCAAATACCTTGATTTCCTGGAATAAAATATCCATTGTATCTTTTTTTTTTTTTTTTCCTAAATGAAGGATTTTATAAATAGAAACAATATAGTACATGGAAATAAAGTGAGGGCATAACCCCACAGTACAAAACTTCCCTAACAGGAGAAGAAGAAAACAAAGCTAAGAAAAGTAAAAAGATTACAAGATGTCCTGAAGGCATACCCCCATAACATCAAGAACCTCCCAAATAACACACTTAGCAATTTCCATAGCATCTCTACAATTTCCATTGTGCATTCTCTCATTTCTTTCCCTCCAAATAAAGTAGAGCACAGCAGTAAACAGAATTCGAGCCACTTCGTTCTTCTTCCCTTGAAATCTTTGATTAAACACTGTCACCATATCTTGTACCTCATGCATCCTTTGTAGATTCCATCCCATAATCTCAGAAATATTAATCCATATATTCCAGGTAAAATCACAGCTGCAAAACAAACGATCCATAGTCTCCACATTTCTAAAGCACATATAGCATCTAGAGACAATAGAAAAACCTTTCTTAGCAAAAAAGAATGAGTCATCATAGCTTCCTGTAAAACCAAAATTGAGTGTGTAGACCATCTAGGCCTCCCCCAACTCCAGCATAAATCATACCAAAAAACTTCAGGTCTGGATCTTCTACAAACCTCCCAAGCTGCTTTGAAGCAAAAATTGGACTGCCATGTTAATTAGTCTTCTCCCCCAAAAATCCTTTGATTATGAAACACTTGTCTCAGATCTTGTGAAGTATTACTCAGCTGCTCTTCATTCCATTGACCATCAACAATAAAATCACTCAAAAGACTCTGTCTATTCCTGCTAAGAGACCCCAGCAATCTGCAGTTAAACAAGTCCCCAAGACATTTTCCCTCACACCATGGATCCAGAAATACTTTAATCTTATGTCCATTTCCAATTCTATATCTACAATTCTGTTTTATAGTGTCTCTAATAGCCACCATACTCTTCCAGATTGAAGAAGAAGACACCTTAGGAGTAACATTCCAAAAAGAAGACTGTCTCAAATAATTTCTCTTATACCAAGCCACCCAAAGTCTGTCTTTTGACAGCAAGAAATCCCAGGTAAGACTGCATTTAGCAGCCTTATCAATATCCATCAATCTACGCAGCCCCAGCCCACCTTCCTGTTTTGGAGCAGCAAGCTTATTCCAACTCAAACCATGTATCTTCTTTCTATCTTCAACATGCCCCCAGATATAGTTTCTCATTCTCCTCTCAATCACATTAATAATCACAGCAGGAAGAGAGTAAACCGATGTCCAATACTGCACCAATGGAAGAATTACAGCTCGACACAATTCCACTCTACCAGCCATTGAGATATGAAGACCATTCCATCGAGTTGTAAGAGAAATAACCTTCTCAACCAATTTATTGCAGTCCCTACTTCGAACCATCTTATCAGAAATAGGAAGCCCAAGATAAGTAAAGGGAAGTTTACCAACCTTTCAACCAAGAGTTCTTATGATACCAGCCCTCCTCCTCACTGAATTAGTAAGAAAAACCTCAGATTTCTCCTTACTAACTGCAAGACCTGAAGAGTTTTCAAACTGAACCATTAAATTTTTCAAAGTAAGCACTGAAGCCATATTGGCTCTCACTACTATCAACAAATCATCAGCAAAAAACTGATGAGTAATAGGTAATCCAGTTTTAATAGCAGCGTCAGTGGGAACAACCTTAACACATTGAACCGCAGATTCCATTAACCCAGAAAAATACTCAGTAACAAGCGTAAAAAGAAGTAGAGATAATGGGCAGCCTTGTGTTAAACCCTTCTCAGGTTGAAAATATCCACAAGGAGATCCATTCACAATGATAGAGAACCACACTGAGGATAAGCATACCTTAATCCATTCGATCCATTGATTACCAAACCCATACAAATGCAACAGCTGCAATAAAAAACCCCATTGGACAGTATCATAAGCCTTCTTAAGATCAATCTTCCAAGCCAACACAGGTTTTACATTTTTTGCACCAAAGCCTCTCATCAATTCATGAGCCATAATGATATTATCCTGAATTTTCCTATCTTGAATAAAAGCTGTCTGTTCTCTTCCAACAATTTTCCCCAAAACCTTTGCCAATCTATTAGATAGGATTTTTGCAATGACCTTATAGAAGGTATTACACAAGGAGATAGGTCTGAAATCACCAACCTGAAAAGCATCCACTTTCTTCTTAATTAAAGTAATAAAAGTACTGTTGATACCTCTTCCCATCTCTGGATGATTGAAAAAATACAGAACTGCATCAATAAACTCCTCTCCAACAATGCCCCAGTACTGCTGAAAAAATCTTGAAGAAAATCCATCTGGACCAGGAGCTCTATCAGGACCCATCGCAAAGACACTGGCTTTAACTTCCTCCCTTGATACAACCTCCTCCAACCTCTCTATCTCCTCTGTTACAAGCCTGTGTCTAATATATTTTGCCTCTGGAGAGCATGTTGCAGGCTGATAATTAGCATAAGCAGACTTGAAGTAATCAACAAATTTCTTTTTAATCATATTAGTATCAGTAATAGCATCACCTTCTTCATGAATCATTGTTACATTACTACCTTCTCTATGCTGTTTAATTTTCTGGAAAAAATACTTGGAGCATCGATCTTGTTCTTTTACCCATCGAATTCTAGATTTCTGATTCAGCAATAAAGCCTCCTTTGATATAGCAGCCTCTAGATTCATCCTCCCTTCCTCTTCTTGCTTAATAATCTCCTCATAGAAAGGATCTTCATTCAGAATTAGTTGAGTATCAGCAAGAGTCTTCCTACAAGCAATGACCTGTTCATACACTGACCCAAACTTATCTTTATTCCACTGTTTTACAGCATGTTTAACCATTTTCAACTTATACAGCATCTTCTTAATTGGATCCCCACTAGCTATCATACTCCATACATCAGCAATAAGATCCTTTACTGCATTTTCCTTATTCCATACTGCCAGAAATCTAAATGGTTTAGGACCATCAGCAATCTTCACTGGAAAATTAATATACATACCCCAATGATCAGAGGTCATAGGAGGCGTCAAACCAATTTGAGAATTAGGATAAGCCTGCTCCCATTCTTCATTCATCAACCCTCTATCTAATCTTGCATAAATTCTTCTATTTAGAAATCTCTTATTACACCAGGTATATATCCCATTTGACACAGGAATATCAGTTAGACAAAGAGAATCAATGGTTTGATAAAATTCAGCAAAGACTCTAGGAGGATGATATCTACCACCCAATTTCTCAGAATTGTATCTCACTATATTCCAATCTCCCATTTATAAATTGCGTACTATCCACCAAATCCTTCCACAACACTGTTCTCTCCCTTGCTGTATTTTTGGCATAAACAAAAGTTACAAAGAATCTTTGATTAGTCCCTCTAACCTCAACAAGTAATAGCAGCATCTGAACTAGACTCAATCACAGTAACATCCAATCTATTTGGATCCCAACCACACCAAATACGACCCCTTGGATCAGCATTGTAATTATTCACCCAATTCCAATTCCAAGTCCTTCTGATTCTGTTCGTTAACCTCTGAAACTTATTACATTGAACTCTCGTTTCAACCAAACCACATAAATATAAAGAGGAACTACTCAACCAAGCTTTAACTTCTTCTTGCATAGCTTTCCTGTTGAGCCCTCTAACTTTCCATAAACCGATCATTAAACAGTTGGATTTGGTGGACAAACCCCACCTGCAACCATTGCTCTAGTGATTCTACCATTTGTATCCACCTCATATTCTTTTTCTTCTTTTTCTTCGGATTCTTTGATGATACACTCCCTTCAAGAGATTTCGGAGGCGACGTATTAGTTGATTTTTCCCCCCTTGTACCATCCAAATGGACTACCTGGACTTCATTGACAGACTCTTCTTGTACTGTCCCTTCACCACCAGCTTGAATAACGTCTTCCTTCAAATCAGCTGTACCCATCGCAGCCTTAGATAGTAATTCAGGCACCAAGTTCTCTGTAATCCCTACAACTTCCTTCTGAACAGCAGACTCATCTCTGTCACAAACTTCTTCGAGCACCTGGAATGCATTCGTAACGATGACCGGATTTTGAGATACTGGGATACAATTCTACCTCCAGATTTCCTCTGAACCGTGTAACCCTCTTCCAACTCCTCCTGGGGTTTCTCACTTATAATTAAACTTTGCTCCACATTCACCTCCTTACCTTTATCAGATCTCTTAACCACCCACTGTTCCTTTTGTTTTTTGGCTTTGGGTTTGTTCAATGGACACATATTCTCAGAGTGGTCCATTTTTTCGCACAACGTACAGACTTGAGGTTTCCATTCATACTCAATTTGAACCTTGAATTGCATTGCATGTAGTCGGGTTTGAATGATTTCAGGGAATGCACCATCCACCTCCATTTCTGCCAATACCCTTACATACAATCCTCTTTCACGACTGAGAGTAATAGCATCCATATATAGAGGCTTCGCAATATTTGAAACAACTTCGACACAGATATCCCACTTCGTGCATGCACCGGAAGATCATAAACCCTCATCCATATTGGTACCGTTGAAAGTGTATCCCGTTCTAGTTGAGTAGTCTTATGCCATTTTTTGATGATAATTGCACAACCTTGAAACGTATGAAATCTCGATGACACCTGAATCAAATCCTCCTCTGAAGGAAATCGTACCTGAAAGAAACCATCCTTCATGGACACCACCACAACATCTTTATTCCAATGCTTCAGCACAAAGGCTTTAAAATATGGGAAATATGGTTTGCTTCCCAAAACATAACACACAATAGAATTCTCCCAATATTTCAATTCCTCCGCTATATCTTCATCATCAATATCAATGACTTCTTTATTACGACTATCACTATAATATGTCAATGGTGTAAAGCTCTCTGATGAAGAATTCATCAGTAATGAACTCCATGAGGGCCGATTAGTGGAGGACTCAACCAAAGGTGGGACGCTACCCACAATAGAGGAGGGCTGACCCTCCTCCATGGCGTTTTCTTCCCCTACAACCCTAGGAAACCCTAGATCACGTATCGCCTATTACAGAGAGAAAAAGGGCAAAAAATAATTAAAAAATAATGTAACATGCAAGTTAAAATAATAATAAAAAAAATATCCGTTGTATCTGCCATCATCTATACCCATAGGTTCAAAACCTCAATATATTTGTATAGATATTTTTTTATATCACCTTTTTGTGATTGCCAATTATTGCAAATTTTCCAAAAGGTACCCTGAATTATTGATATATTGATAATCTTTGGAATCTAGACATTTCCATTTTATGAACATATAAAATCTTTCAGCACGTATTTTTTTAGTTGAATTGCATTTGCATTGATGTAACGTTGCCCTTACTATCTTTATTGCCCTTCATATTTTCCCACCAAAATCTGCACCTTGAGGTGAAGTATCTTTCCACTGGTTTTCCTTGGTTTCAAAGTGATTATGGGTGTCATAAGATGAGATACACTAAGCGTTTCATTTTGCATTTATTTTGTGTTGCATATATTGTGTTGTGACATATTTTGTTTTTGTATTCACTTTTTGAGTGGCCTGATTTAATTATTCTATACCCCTTTGCACAGATTCCAAAGAAAGGAAAGATCTATTCAGTCAATGAAGGAAATGCAAAGAACTGGGATGGTCCAACAGCAAAGTATGAATAAACTCAATATAATCTTTTGTTGTCTGTCAAGTATGTGGTCTTGACATTCTTAAAATTCTAGGTATGTGGAAAGATGCAAGTTCCCCAAAGATGGTTCATCACCAAAATCTCTAAGATATATTGGAAGGTACCTGAATTTTCAACTTATAATCTAATTGCCAGGTGCTTGAATTTTTTTGGTAGTAAGTAGTTGTGTTTGACCTCGAGCTGGCTTGCTTATCTGCCGCTATTGAATGACATCCCGAACATAGTATGAAATTAAGAGCAGAGGGGGACTTGAAAATTTAGGGCCTACTTGGTTCACTAGTCTAAAAATAGTTTTCATCTTAAGAGAACTGAAAAATAGAACATAGTTTGAAATTTTGTCTTGCTAACAGTTTTCTGATAAATGAGTTAAAAAACCTGTCATTTTAGATAGCTGTCTTTTGCCATCCTCTAAAAACTGTTTCCTGTCCGAGTTCTTCAAAACTTTTTTCCGTGAATGGGACTAAATGAGCCCTTTGTCCTCATATCTGCATGCTATTACTGAACATTACTGAACTGATGATTTTCATTATTTATTCCCTCGCTTAATTAATTTGATCTGTTTATGATGTATGTAATATTCTTGGAATTCGGACATCAAGGTGCCTAATTAATTTGTGATCTATTCAGTACCTCTATTATTTTTCTTGTTTCATCAACTTAAGGAGATGCCTGTCCCATCAAAACTAAATTGTATGAGAATTATTGGAAAAGTCTTTTCCGCTGACCGTGTTTTTCCCTTTCTTGTTATCATGTTAATGTTATATACCAAAAGTAAGAAGAGAAAGTGAGAAATGAGTTGCCTCCAGGTTCACAATAGAAAGTGAGAAATAAATATACATCTTGTGCATGTGATGCTGGTCAAAAGCTGTATGCAGTGGCTACAAAAAATTTGTACTCCATATCTTTCAAGGGGAAAAATTGAAATTCATGTCAAAGAGGCCAGATAAGGACTGGCATTGGGGTATAAAACTCCAAACTAAACCCGACTTTATAAACAGAATAGAAAATCAATAATATGGACTTGTTGTCATTGACAATATCAGGGGCGAACCGAAAACAATCCATATGCACATACTGACATACATGTGTAAAAATAAATAAATAATATTGTGATAACATTTAAATGTATGGTTATAAAAAGATAAGAAAACATATCTTTTGGGTTGTTGGTGTTGGAATCCTGATGCAAATTCGATCTTCTGAAGATGGGTTCTATATGGATTAACCGGGAAGACCTAGGATATCTCAACTAGTAAAACACTCATTGAAACCTTTAAGCTGGGATTGTGTGATGATGCAGTTTCGAGTATAAAACCAGCCATTGTGCAAATAATGTCAATAGTTAGGTCTGTACTAGGCCACCATTACCGACACTGTCGATTAATTAGCATAAACGTTACACTCGCCATAAGTATTGTATACATTTTATTAGGAGACTTTTTGGCTATTGTTACGCTCACCATAAGTTTGAAATAAAAAAATTTAGGAGACTTTTTGGCTATTGATTGAATATTGGATGCATTATAATTTTATACCTCTTTTTTTATTCTTCTGCTTGGTGTACAGCATGGTAGCTGATGTCCATCGCACATTACTTTATGGGGGTATCTTCTTGTATCCTGCTGATAAGAAAAACCCAAATGGAAAACTGCGGTATGTCTCTTGCAAATATACAAAAGATTCATAGAAACTCTTGAAGTTACACATTACAGAAAAAATTCATTTCTGACGTTTCTTTGTTATTCCTATGGGATAGAGTTCTCTATGAAGTTTTCCCAATGTCATTCTTGATGGAACAAGCTGGAGGTCAAGCATTTACCGGCAAGCAGCGGGTATTGACTTTTTGGCGAACTTTTTGGTTATTGAATAGACAGAGATTATTTGCTAGTCTTAATTGGCCGTGCCATTTCAGTTTCACAAACCTCTCTCTTTGCCTAATATTAGTGAAGCTAAACTGATTTTACCATCTAGCCCTGGTACAAATAAGGCTATCACAAGTTCTTCCTCTCCGGGATAGTAAAAACGGAAAAAAAAAAAAAAAAATGTCCCAAAATTCTTTGAGCTTTTTGGAGAATCCGACTCTTTATGGTAGTGAGTTTTTAATACGTTTTTATTGTATTGATAAGAATGAATTTCCAAATTTATCCTAATTAAAAGACAAAGGAGTACTCCGTAATTAATGCACCAGTTTAATCAAGTCAATGTCAAAAGGATAGTTTGGGTTTTAGGACATCCCAAAATAGAAAGATGACGAAGAATTTTGGGGCTGAGGGAGTATTGCACGAGTTTGAGGCACTTTTATGTGGCTTAAGTTGACAAATGTGTACACATGTTGTATATTATGAGTAATTAAATCAATCATCTTTGCAGGCACTTGACTTGGATCCGAAGAAGATACACGAAAGATCCCCAATATTTCTGGGCAGTTATGATGATGTCGAGGAGATCAAGGCGCTCTACGCTGCTGAAGAGAAGAGTGGGTGAACCTTATTTACGCCTTGGTGTTGTGCAGGTGCTATACCTAATTACTGACTATTTATTCACAAAGCAAAGCCTTCCTTTAAGGTTTACTTGTAATGACATGCACAATATATTGATAAAATTGCATGTTTGGTGAGTTCTCCACTTGAATTGTAGCCAAGTTTATAATACTTTGTGCATTATATTTCTATTATATTATATTATATTAATAAATAAATAATACAAATGATACGAAAGTTACTCTATTCTTTCATTTCTTAGGCTTCATTCGAATAAATTAGAGAAAAAAGAAATGAAATGATAACATTAGTTATGAGAGAAAACAAAAGAAAAAAAATGATACTAATAAATTTTATTCATGTTTGGATAAATTATGAAGGAAAAGAAATGAAATGAAATGAAATGAAATGAAATGAAAGTATTCTCACTTGGTAAAGGTGAAGGAGAGATTTTATTTATTTATTTATTTTTATTATTTTTTATTTTTTTAAAAAAAAAGAAAAAAGAAAAAAAGAAACCCAAACACATTTCACACTATCATTTCATTTCATTTCATATTTATCCAAATCATTCAATTTTTTATTGGCCCCACAATACACACACCATTTAAGTCAGGAGTGCGATTCGAAAGTGAGACTTCAAGAACATACTTCCCAGATCCCTGTCAATGCCGTTATGCTCCTGGAGGCTCCAAATCATTCAATTTAATGGGAGCCTTAATGTGCAAACATAATCTCTATTTTGTATTTGTGTTTTGTCATCCAATAATAATAATAATAATAATAATAATAATAATACTCCATTTGTCTCAAAATAAGTATCATACTTTCCTTTTTTGTTTGTCCCAAATATATTTCACATCTTTCCATATATGTCATTTGAGTTTTAAATTTCAAACTTGAATATTCAAAACTTAAAAAGGTAATTTAGTAACTTTTTAGGGAGATAATGCATGTGACACATGTTCCCTTACTCCCCAAAAGCAATACTTAAATTAGGACGGAGGGAGTGATAAAGTAAAAGGAAAAGGAAAAAAAATATTAAAATGGCACGTCATGTCGGCGGCTTACTGCTTTACTCCTTTTTTTTTTTCATAAATTCACAGCTTTACTATTGTTCCAAAATATACTATACTTTTTAGGATAAAGTGCACTAAACTCCCCTAAGTTTTCTTCTTTCCCAGGGAAACTCCCTGAACTTTAAGGAATGCACTAAGCAAAAATTCAAATTATGTCACTTGGCCGTCTATAATTAACGTTGAAAGGAGGCACGTGACTCATGTGCTTTGGTCAAAATTTAGAATACCATATATATTCTTATCACAGTTAAAGACCGTTATATTGACCATATTATTTATATGAGAAATGATACATTTGCCGACCTAATCCTCCGAGTTATCCTTCGAATCCTAGGTGGCCAGGCCAAGTCAGCAACAAAAAAACACTGTTTTCTCTCTCTCATTCCCTCTCCACGATTCCCCCTCTGTTTCTACCATCGCTGGCTTTCTCCACCAGTATAGGGAGATAGAGCATGAGAAAGAGATCAAATTCCAATCATCATCCAACCAAGAATCTCATCTTTGAGTTGCTTGGAGGCGCCGCCGGAAACTTCGCCGCATCAAATAACTGTTCCCGACGACGACACCGCACAACAAATCCGACCCAGTTTTGCCTGATCTGAAGCTTTAACCCAAGATCACAACGTCGGTCCCAAGTGATCACCTTTTCCTTTGTCGTTGACTTCACGGGCCAAGCCGTCGCCAGATCGGAGCTCCCTCTAGAAGAAGTCGATGGAGACGGATGATGGCCTGATCGAGTTCCTCCACCATCTGCTCATTGCCACCGCCACCGCCACCGCCGGCTATTCGCTGCCATCGCCGGGCTGAACCAGCTCGTCGCCCATTGCGAGCCCATCCTCACCACTGTCCAAGCTGTCCATCTGAGCCGTCGTAAGCTCGCCGCTCCACAGCCGAACCACCCCTCCTCGATCGTGGCGGCTTATCCCCAGAAACTGACCCACTCGCCGACGATCAGCCCCAAACTGGTTTTTCCGGCGAAGAGCTCTCACCGATCTCATGCACTCTTTGACTTGGTTCTTTCGAGTTCAAGACTGTCACAGCCAGACCATCTCCACCTCGGCGTGCACAAGCCGCAGTTGCCAAAGCCGGACGTGTCTCGCCGGCCGCCGAACCATTCTGCCGCTTGAGAGGGGAATCGTGGAGAGAGAAAGAGCTATGATTTTTTTGTGTCGCCGGCGAAGCATCCCGCCTGGCTTGAGATGAGAGCTTGAGGGGGAATCGTGGAGAGAGAAAGAGCTGCAATTTTTTTGGTCTGACGTGGCCTAGCCACCTAGGATTCGGAGGATAACTCGGAGGATTAAGTCGGCAAATGTATCATTTCTCTATATATATTCATCTTATATATACATTCGAACCAGAAAACTCTCAAATTAGAAACAAAGATGTAAGCACCAAATTCTAAGTAGGGCTCCTCAGTGATAAGATTAGGGCTAATTTATGCGTCTTAACGGAGTTGAAGGATTTATTTAGAAAAGGAAAGTTGAAATTTTGGGTGTGTTGTGATTTGCCTCTTCGGTATTTTTTATGCAAGGTTGTTATTGAGAGTTTACGAAGAATCTACTTACCCAGGAAAAAAGAAAGAAAGAAGTGGTTGTGTTTTTGATCGCATATATACATATATATACACAAATACATACCATATTCTTTTAACTTCCTTTTTCAAAATCAAACCTTTTGTTTCTTTCTCTACAAAACCCAATTGTAATCACACACATAAAAAGAATTAATACACAAAATATACATCATACATAATGACGGGTTTCCGATTATGTATTAATTCAGAATCTTCAATGCTGGGAAAGCTCTGGGCCAAATTCGAAGAAATAAAGTAGCAAGAAAAACAAGGAGAGGAGCAACCCCTCGTCGCCACCTCCACCGCGGTCTATAAGCAACAAGTCAATCCGAATTCCTACCCTAGTCCACTACAACACTACTCTATTCCGTGCCAAGGACGCCGAGTGTGAATTAAATATTTTATAAAAGGATTTCCGAAAGATTGTATTAGCAAACTACGGACGAAAATAGCTCTGATGAAGATGATGAAGTCGTGGGCTGAGGCAGTGGTTGTTGATGGCAAGATCTATGCTTGGCAGTGATTGAGGATGAGGAAGGTCTAATGGGTGAGGTTTTCGACCTGAGCAAAAATGCTTAAGGTTTCTTTTACACTTGATTATAATTGGGATGGGAGTTGTTTGGCGCCAGATATTGCTAGGACATGTTTGGCTCCAGAAATTGTTGTTGGGTTATTGTTTGGCGCCCTCTTGATATACCCGAAGGATAGGTGGCTAGGTGTCCATTCTTTATTGGTTCTAGAGATTACATTGCCACATTAGCATCTTAACAAGAAAAAACAACTAAAACGATGTCGTATAAGTAAGGGCTAAATGGTAATTTCATTTATTTGTTAATGGGTGGATGACGGTTCTTAGGGAATTTTACTTACTTTAAGGGGGTTTCTTACAATTGAGTCATACTTGAGGGGGTTTAGTGCACTTTACCCTACTTTTTATGGTGGTACATTGTTCAATGATATTGTCAGTCAACAATTTAAAAAGTTCCGTAAGATTATTTATAGAATATATTTATTGAATTATGCTTTTGTGGCTTGCGTAGTAGTTACATCTGCTATCATCCACAAGGTACTTAAGGCACAACTTACTGATCAGTTGTGCATTGATAGAGTTACAGAGTTAGCTTCTGGGGATGTTTCATTTTATTCTGTTGGGACAGATGGAGGCTTTAGGTACAAGGGACGTTTAATAGTACATTCTCTTGATGATTTGAGGAAGGATGTGAATACTGAGGTTTACAAATCTGAGTTCTCTATTCATCTAGGTGGAGATAAAATGTATCAAGACATGAAGCAACAATGGGTAGGTATGAAGAGGGATATAGCTATTTTTGTCTCCAAGTGTAGTTCTTGCCAGCTGGTTAAGATTGACCATCAGAGACCGCCGGGCTCCTTGCAGCCACTTCCTATACTGAAGTGGAAATGGGAGAGTATTTTCATGGACTTTGTCGAGGGATTGCCTAATTCGAATAGGAATCACAATTCCATTTGGGCCATTGTTGATAGATTGACCAAGTCCGCTCATTTCTTGCCTATTCGCACAGATTTCACATCAGAACAGTTGGCGAGGCTTTACATTGTAGAAAATTTGAAGCTATATGGCATACCTTTGTCTATCGTATCAGATAGAGATTCGAGCTTTGTATCAAAATTTTGGGAGAGTTTCTAGCAGGCTTTGGATACAGAGTTACATCTTAGCATTGCTTATCATCCTTAAATAGATGAATATACCGAAAGAGTCAACAAGATTATAGAGGATATGCTTAGAGCATGTGTCCTTGATTTTAAGGGTAATTGGGAGGATTACTTGCCACTTGCAGAGTTTTCTTATAACAATAGTTACCAGAAGACTATTGGTATGGCACATTTTGAGGCATTGTATGGTAGACCGTGTAGATCTCCTGTTTGTTGGTTGGAGGTTGGTGAGAGCAGATTTTTGGGTCCTGAGTTCATTAAGGATACCTCTGAGAAGATCGCTCTTATTTGAGATCGTATACGCACTGCTTAGAGTAGGAAGAAGAGTTATGCTGACCGTAGTACTCATTCACTAGAGTTTCATGTTGGGGATCAAATTTTGCTTAATGTTTTTCCCATGAAGGGAGTAATGCGCTTTGGAAAGAAGGGGAAGTTGTCGCCACATTTCGTAGGACCATTTATGATTACGGATCATGTGGGAGTTGTAGTTTATCGATTAGCACTTCCGGACCATTTACATCATGTCCACAATGTTTTCCATGTTTCTATGTTGCGGAATTTTTTGCGAGATAAGGATCGTTACCAGCATATAGATGTTGGTCAGATAGAGTTGCAACTAGATGCGACATATATAGAGCCACCTTGTTGCATTCTTGATTGTAGGAATTAGGTGCTTCGCACCATAGTTATTCCTCTTGTGCTTGTTCAGTGGAGCCATCATAATGAGGACAAATCCACTTGGGAATGGGAAAATGAAATCCGTTCAAAATTTCCAGAATTATTTAAATAAGGTATGCAGTGAATTCCGAAGACGGAATTCCTTGTTAGGGGAGGAGAATGTAATACCCCT